TTATATGAAGCACTAATGCAATACAAGTCTTTGTTCACTAGATATTCAAGACGTTCTGTTGAACATGGAATTGCTATTATTCAAGACGGTGTTGAACAATTATCAAAACAAAATGATTTAACATCATACTTTGGGTTGATTGAATTCTACGAGAATTATTTAGAAACACATAAAAATCTTATTAATGACAAGTCAATTGTTCCTTTTAATAGTGTTATTGAAGTACCTGCATCAGAAGATAAAATTAAACAAGAAGAAGCTATTATTCAATTATTAAACCAAACTTCTTTTAACGAAATTAAAATAAAATTAAACAAAGATTTAGGCATTAGTTATATGAATATTGGTAATATCAATAAAGCTCTTCAGTCATTTATTAATGACATTAATGAAATTGCTATGTTATTTGATTATGTAAAACAACACAATAATATCCCTATGGAAAAATTAACATTATTATGTGTCCTTAAAGTTTTGTTATCAAATACTCCAACTAATGCAAGAAAGGTTTATCAATTAATACAAGACAATTATAATTATCTTTTATCTTCTCAAACTATTCAAGTTAGTATTCTTTATATTGTATTAATAATGAAAGTCGTTGATAAGAAAGATAAAAAAGAAGATATTGAAATTGCATTTAAAAAAGTAACTTCATCCTTTGAAACTATTTTAAAAGAAAATCAAGTTTTAGTATTTGTTGATGAACTTCATTCTAAGTACTTTGCTAAACCACAACCATCATTTAATCCATTATCATCATTAATGGAATCAATGATGCAAGGAGGACAACATTAATAAGACTAATTTATTTATTAGTTTTGATATTTGAGAAGTTTGAAAGAATAAGGAAGGAAAAAAGAAACGAAAACGAAAGAAAGAATTTTAAATCTTTTAACAAACGAAAGGAAAGAAAAAATCCTTCAAAGTCAGAAAAAAGTCAAAAAGATACTTTGTTGTATTTATGTAAGAAGATCTTACTTTCTCTTATTTACAATCCTTATGTCATCATTATATAATATTCGTCCTAAAGAATTTCCTAAAAAGTGTTGTGGTATTGTTGGATATGTTGGTAATGACTCTTGTTCAAAGTACCTATTTGAAGGACTTATGATTCTACAAAATAGAGGCTATGACTCAGCTGGAATTGCTTCTATTAATAATAACAAACAACTTATTGTAACAAAATATGCTAGTGAAGGTAGTACATCTGATTCTTTAAAAATTCTTGAAGGGCATTTAAATGAACACCAAAATAATACAATTGGCATTGCTCATACTCGATGGGCTACTCATGGCTCTAAAACTAATATTAATGCTCATCCTCATTGTGATCAACATAACAGAATTGCATTGGTTCACAACGGAGTCATCCAAAATTATGCTGAAATTAAAACAGAATTATGTAAAAAAGGAATTAAATTTATTTCAGAAACTGATTCAGAAGTTATTGCCCAATTAATTGGATATTATTTAGACCAAGGAGAATCGTTAATTGGATCATTAAAAAAATGTGAACAAAAGATGATTGGAACTTGGGGAGTAGTTATTGTTTCTATTGCACATCCAAACTGTTTATTTGCAATGAAGAATGGAAGTCCTTTATTAATTGGGATTGGGGACAATCGTAGATTTATTGCAAGTGAACCAGCTGCGTTTGCTAGATATACTCGAGAATTTATTTCATTAAAAGATATGGAAGTAGCTGTAATAGATGCAAGTAAACCAATTGATTTATCTCGTGTTGAAGTTCATCCAGAAGATAATATTACTCTTTCACCAGCACCATTTGCTCATTGGTGTATTAAAGAAATTACAGAACAACCAATTGCTGCATCTGCAGCAATGAATTATGGAGGACGATTTATTGATACAAAGAGTGTAAAATTAGGAGGATTAGAAAGTAAAGCAGAAGAACTTCTTCCAATAAAGAATCTTATAATTTCTGGTTGTGGAACAAGTTATTATGCCTCTATGTTTGGGTGTTCTATTATGCGTAAATTAAAATCATTTAATACTGTAGAAGTTATTGATGCTGCTGAGTTAACACTTGACTGTTTACCAGATGAAGGAGGGATGCTTGTTGTATCACAATCAGGAGAAACCAAAGATGTCCATAGGGCTTTACAATTAGCACAATCCATTGATATGCCAACTTTTTCTGTTATAAATGCAGTAGGTTCATTAATTGCTAGAACAACTATGTGTGGAGTTTATGTTAATGCTGGAAGAGAAAACTCAGTAGCATCTACAAAATCTTTTTCATCTCAAGTAATTTGTTTATGTCTTATTGCAGTATGGTTTTCACAACATAGAAAATGTATATCAGGAAGAGAACAAGTTATTTCAAGTTTACAAAGAATTCCAACATGTATGGGAATGGCTTTAACATGTCGTCCAAATTTACAAAGAATAGCACATAGACTTATTGAATTAAATACAACTTCAATGTTTATCCTTGGAAAAGGACTTGCTGAAAGTGTTGCCAAAGAAGGAGCATTAAAGATTAAAGAAATTTCTTATATCCATGCAGAGGGATATTCTGGAGGTGCATTAAAACATGGACCATTTGCTTTAATTGAAAAAGGACTTCCAGTAATTCTTATTATTTTAGATGATGAACATGCTAATTTAATGAAAGTAGCAGCAGAAGAAATCAAAGCAAGAGGTGCTTATTTGATTGTTATCACTGATCGCCAAGAATTAGCATGTGTTGCTGATGAAATTATTTTAATTTGTAGTGCTGGTTTATTAACAGCTCTTGTTGCAGTTGTTCCACTACAAATTTTAGCATATGAATTGTCTATTGCTAAAGGAATAAATCCAGATAAACCAAGAAATTTAGCAAAAGCTGTTACTGTGGACTAAAAATGTTTTAAGTGAATTTCCATTTATTGTCTTAGAAAAGTTTATAACTTTTTTTAATAATTTTTATTATTTAAATAAACCCTTTGAAATTTTTATGAAAAGAAAGAAGATAAGATTCAGTGATTAATGTCAAGACCAGAACATATTGCACCGCCTGAATTCTTTTATAATGAAGAAGAAGCTGGAAAGTATGCTAGAAATACTCGTATGGCCTATATCCAAACAGAAATGACAGAAAGAGCATTAGAATTATTAGGAATACCAGAAGAAACTAAAGGATTACATATTCTTGATCTTGGATGTGGTTCAGGATATTCAGGGGAAACTATTGAAGAGAATGGACATTATTGGACTGGAATGGATATTTCTCGAGATATGTTAAACATTGCAAAAGAAAATGGTTCAAGCGTTATACAAGGAGATATGGGAGATTATTTACCATTTAGACCTGGGTCATTTGATGGGTGTATTTCAATATCTGCAATTCAATGGCTTTGTCAAGCAGACAAAAAAACACATAATCCAGTAACAAGATTAAGAAAATTATTTGAAGCACTCTTTGGTTGTCTCAAACGAGGAACAAGAGCAGTTTTTCAATTATATCCAGAAACACCAAATGATTTAGAAATGATTACTAATGCTGCAACACATGCTGGATTTACTGGTGGAGTTGTAGTAGATTTTCCAAATAGTAAAAAAGCAAAGAAATATTATATTGTGTTAATGTGTGGTCAACAAAAAGGTGCATTACCACAAGCTCAAGGATTAGAAGTTACTGATGAGAATGAAGGAATTAAAGTTGATAAAAAGAAGTATAAAGATGCTACAAAACCATCAAAATTAAAATATAAAAGTAAAGCATGGATCTTTAGAAAGAAAGAAAGACAAAGAGAGAAAGGTATGGAAGTTCGACCTGACAGTAAATACACAGGAAGAAGAAGATCTGGAAAGAAGTTTTAAATTGATTGAATTTGTGTGTAATTGAAGAAGGTTAAATATATATTATAAAGAACTATAAAAAAAGAACTTAAAAGAAAATAATTAAAAGAATATTAAATAAATGGGAATAAAAGGTCAAGAAGGAAATTGTATTCTTTTACTTAAGGCTTTTGGAATTAGTTTATTTTTTCTTAGTGCGTTAGGAATTAGAATGGGGTTAATAGTATATGGAATGTACCAAGATCAAAAATTTAATGTAAGATATACTGATATTGATTATGATGTATATAATGATGCATCAAGATATTTAGTTAATGGAGAATCCCCTTATAGAAGAGCTACATATAGATATACACCATTATTAGCAGAAATATTAATTCCAGATATTCTTTTAAATGAACAATTTGGAAAAATATTATTTAGTATATTTGATATTATTATAGCTTGTCTTCAATTTAATTTATTAAGACAAACAAATTCATTTATTATGTCATTATTATATACTGCTATTTGGGCATTTAATCCAATGTCAATTGTTATTTCTACAAGAGGAAATGCTGAAGCTGTAGTATGTTTATTTGTTATTTTAACATTTTATTTCTTGTATAAAAGAAAAATATGGTTATGTGCATTATTCTTTGGACTATCTATTCATATGAAGATTTATCCAGTGTTATATGCATTGCCATTATTTTTTTGTTTACCTAATTTTTATCCAAATAAATCATTTTTTACCAAAGAAAGATTTATTGCAGTATTTGGAACAGCCTTTGTTTTAATAGGATTAACAGGATATTATTATTACCGTTATGGATTTGAATTTCTTTGGGAAACTTATTTATATCATGGAACACGTACAGACCATAGACATAATTTATCAGTATATTGGTATTATTTATCACTATCATTTGATTTCCCCAAATCAACAATACGATCATTAATTTCTTTCCTTCCACAAATTTTTTGTTTAATTGCAATTGGATTTAGGTATTGTAAAAAAGATATTATTTTTTGTTGTTATCTTATGACATGTATTTTTGTTGCATTTAATAAAGTATATACAATGCAATATTTCATTTGGTGGTTTGTTTTACTTCCATTTGTAGTACCAAAAATAATAGAAGGAGCATTACATCATATCTTTTTAACAGTGTTTGTAATTTTACAGTATATTATATCGTATGGTATTTGGCTTTATTATGGATATGAGCTTGAATTTAAAGGAAAGAATTCAATGTTTAACATATTCATTGCAGGAATCATTGTATTTGTTGCTAACATTATATTGATTATATGGCATATTTACGTATATTCACTCAGTGAGTCACTAAGAAAACAAAAAAAAGTAAACTAAATTAGTTTTAAACAACAAGTTTCTTTGTTTGTTTTAAACTTCATTGAAATGAAAGAGGAAAATTCTTCTGAATAACAAAAAAAAATAATTTATAAAAAAAATAAACTATAATAAATTATAATTTAATTAAAAAAAGAACTCAAAAAGATGAAGTGTAAATAAATAAAAATATGAATAAGATAGAAAGAGTTAATATCACTCTTGCATCTGAAAGTGAAGTCAATCGTTATACTCTTCAAGAAGTTATTCATTCAAACAAAGATTCAGTTATACAAAACGCTATTGAAAAATCACCTCAAGGAGCAAGAACAGTTGTAATTAAAAGACATTTAATTAATATGAATAAAAAAGATATTGTATTACAATATAGTGAGGCACTAAGATTATTACAACAATGTGAGCACATAAATATTATTAAAATATATAACTGTTTTTTTTGTTATTTTAATGGATCATTACAATTTTGGATTGTAATGGAAAAATGTACCCAAATGGATCTTTTATCTTTTATTCGATCTAATACTTCGTTTGGAGTTAATGAACAAACAATGTTCTTTATGTGTGATATCTCTTATGCTATTGAATACCTTTCTAAAAATTATTCATTATTTCAATATTCATTAACTCCAGAACATCTTCTTTTAACTAGAGATCCTTCAAGTCCTATTCCTCTTATTAAATTAACAAATTTATTTTCTTTAGTAACTGACTTAGAAGAATTATTTTATAAAAATTGTTATTATAACCCACCAGAATATATTAAAAAGAAAATTTTTGATAACTCTGTTATTTGGTCTATTGGAGTAATTTTTTTTATGTTAGTCCATGGACATCATCCATTGGAAATTGGAAAAACAGATATAATGTATAATATTCTTCATATGAAACCAATAGAATTTCCTTCTACTAATGACGAGTTATTTAGAGACCTTATTAAACGAATGTTAGTATATGACCCAAATAAACGTATATCTTTAGACCAATTTTTTGTTCATCCTTTTATTGAGAAATGTAGAAAATTTAAATGGGGAAAACCATCTGATCCAAGTATTTATCATCCTATTAAAATTGTTGGTAAAGGAAGTTATGGAACAGTAATGTATGCGTTACGTATTATTAATGGAGATAAAACTCCAGTTGCAATTAAAGAAATTCCTTATACTGGAAGAGATTCAGTAATAAGAGAAGCACGTGTTATGAGAATGTGTAAACATCCAAATTTAGTAGATTATTATGACTATTTTGAATTACCTTATTCAATTTGTGAAGGTGGAAAACAAGGAAAATACTCCTATCTTGTAATGGAATATTGTGACAGAGGAACATTAGAAACATATTTACATGCAAAAAAAAGACCATTACAAGATTTTGAAATACTTCATTTTTTATCAGAAATATGTAGTGGTTTATGGTATCTTCATTTTAATAAACATCTTCTTCATAGAGATCTTAAACTTGATAACTTTTTATTAAAAACACCAACTCAAATTAGTCAAAAACTTCCTCGGTTAAAGATTACTGATTATGGATTCTCAAGAATTTTTGGGACTGAAAGTCAATTGATTACTAGTTTCCTTGGAACTCCTATTTATGCTTCTCCAGAAATATTAAATGAAAAGGGGTATACTGTTAAATCAGATTTATATAGTGTTGGTGTTATTTTATATGTATTAGCTACAAACCAATTTCCATTTAGTGATGACAAAGATATCTTCTTAGAAAAAATGAGAAGAGAAGAACCATTACTATTCCCTTCAGACGTTGTTATTGACCCAATGCTTAAAGACTTAATTTGTCATCTTATTACTCATAAAGAAGCAGACCGTTGTAGTTGGGAAGAATTTTTCCAACACCCTTATGTTCAAAGAGCTGTTCCTGCTCATTCATTACCAACTCATAACGATTTCAGACAGTTCAAAGAACAAGAGATTGATATGATGTAAATGATTCATTTATTTTATTGTTATATAAAACTTTAATTTTTACTAAATGAACTTAAAAATTAGATTTCAAGATAAAAAAAAAGTAAAAAAAAAATAATAAGATTTTTTATTATCATTGTGATATGGGTGATTGTGTTGGTATTGATAACCAACAATTTGTCGAGATTTTTGAAAAGGAATTAATTAAGTTTAAAGAACAAATTGAAGAAGGAAAGAAAAAAGGAAGAATAGAATTAAATCCAGCTACTGTTCAATTATTTAATGGATTAACTAATCCATCTTATGGAACAATGGACACGTTACAAAATGAATTTGAACAAATTAAAAAAATATTAATAAAAGGGAATGAAGAAGAATTAGAGAGTCCAGAAATAGTAAGAACAGAAATACCGATATTACCATTATTTTTCCTTCAATACTGTGCAATTGAAGAGCTTCAATTTGAAAAATTAAGATATCAATTAGAAGTTAATAAATATAATATTCCAGAAGTATTAATTACATTGTCATTAGATAAAGTTAAAATTGATAATCTTAGAGAATTTTTAGTTAGTGGAGGAAGTGTGGTTTGGAAAAAATTACAGTATTTAACAATTTCAAATGCAGGTATTAGATCAATAGATGATGGATTATTTATTGAAGACTTTTTCCCAGAATTATTATTACTTGATCTTAGTAATAATGAAATTGAAGTATTAGAAAATATTGGTGAAAGACCATTAGAACATCTTAAGTTAAATAATAATAAAATAGCATCAATTAGATTAACAGTAGTTGGTTCAATTAGTAAATTAGAATTAAATGATAATAAAATATCAAATATTTTACCATTAAGTAATTTCTATGGATTGGAAAGATTATGGTTAGCAAATAATCAGATTAAGTACTTTACTGATTTTGAGAAAGTATTTTCTAAAATGTATAATTTAAAAGATGTTATGTTAAATGGAAATTCAATTTGTGCAGATGATTCTTTTAAGATGAATATATCTACTGTAATGCCAATTTTTCAAACAGGAATCACTGCAGATATTACATTAAATGGAGTAAAAATGTCTAAAGATGAACAAAAGAAAGTGTTAATGAGATTATCATCACGTTCATATTATATGCTTGATGAAATTCTTGATGATAATGAAATTCAAAAAGAAAAAGAGATTGGAAAAAAACAACAAAAAGAAATTGAAATGGAAAAAAGAAGACTTAGAGAAATGAAAGCTAACTTTAAAGCAGAAAAAGAAGTTAGACTTAAAAAAGAACTTGCTATATGTAATTTTTATCGTAATTTCTTATTTATGAGTAGAAAGACTGGGTTTGAACAAATGGAAGAAAGGCAACGTGGAGAAAATTATTTAAATTATGTTAAAACTTTAATTGAACAAAGTAGAGTAAAACAAACATTAAGTCCATTAGAAATAGAAAGTGATGAAAGTGATGAAGAAAGTGATATCGAAATTCAAGCTATTGAAGAAAATGCAGATGGAACTATTCCAGTATTTAGAATTGACGTTAGCAAATGGGTAGAACAAACATATTTTGATAAGCAAATACTTTCTATGGTTAATGTTATGGAAAATGCTAAACAACGTTCATTTAATTTTAAATTATTCTTTGAAGAAGAAACAAATCGAATGAGAAAAATTACTATTGAAATTCCTTTAAGTAGAAAAGAATTCCCTGGATATTTTAAAGACGTCATTAATCATTTCGATAAACATAAAGCAAATTTCCAACAAAATGATAGAATGAAAGAAGAAAGATGGAAAAGAGTATTAAAAAAGAAAGAAGAAGAAAATAATCTTTTAGAAGAAGAAAAAAAGAAAGTCAATACATTTAAAGGTGTTAGAAGAGAAATGAATGATGGACATTTAGCACAACGTATAGACGATGCTCAAGTTAGAGTTAAAAATCAATTTATTAAATGTGAAGGTAACGCATCAAGATTACTTATTCAAAGTGATAAAAATACACAAAGAGCAGTATTGAAAGAATTAGAAAAACCAAAAGAGAAAGGAAATTTAACACATCATAGAAGTGAATTATTTAATAAACCAGAAAATGTTTCTTCTATTGAAAGAATGATTGATAAACAAATTAAAGAAATGAAAGGAAAAGAAAATAAAGAAAGAGTATTTTCTATTGGTTTGTGTAATGATAATGGAACTGAAGAAGCTAAAAAGAATATTTTATTATTAATCAATCAATGTAAACCATTTGATATTAAAGTTGAACGTCAAAAAATTCAAAATTCTCGTGGTACTGCTCATAGGCCAAGTGCTTTAATTGGTTATTCAATGTTACTAAAAGACCAAAAAGATCCCGTTTATGCTACTCGAGCTAAGGTTGAACAAGAAGAACCAAATTTCTTTGGAGAAAAGAAAGAAAAAGAAGAGATTGATGTGACAATGGTAAAAATGTTTGGAGTAGAATTTCCATTAAAGGCAATGAGAAAGAGAAGAGGTACAATGAGAGAAAACAGAACTATTCCAAGAAGAACAATTGCTTCAAAATTTAGAATTGGAAGACAAGCCCAAAGTGCCTTCATGAAAGTTACCAAACCAACACGTTCAAGAAATGAACTTGTTGATAGTGTATTAGCTCGAGTCTCTGAAAATAAAGAAGGGTCTGAAAGTAAAACAAGGATTGTTGTTGGTCGTCAAAGAAGACCAACAGAAGAAAGTATTAAACCAATTATTGATGACGGAACATTACCTCCTGTACCTCCTAAGCCAAGAAGCGGATTAATGAATGAAAGTGCCCCAAGTTCTGAAGATAACGAAGATAGTCCAGTTAAAAGAAGACCTGTTATTGGTATGACTCAACGAGGGCAAAGGAATAGTCCCCTTGCTATTCCTCCAGAACAAACATTACAAAACGTCCCTGCTGTACCCAGTAAACCATCTAGACTTCTTGGTACTGTTCAGCCTGAAGAAGTTAGTGATATACCACCACCTGTCCCATCTAAACCACCTAGGTTAGAACAAAATGAACTTCCAAAAGAACCAGAAGAAGATAAAAAAGCAATCAAAGAAGAAGACAAAAAAGCAATCAAAGAAGAAGACAAAAAAGCAATCAAAGAAGAAGAAAAAAGACAAAAAGAAGAGGAGAAACGACAAAAAGAGGAAGAGAAACGACAAAAAGAGGAAGAGAAACGACAAAAAGAAGAAGAAAAGAGATTGAGAGAAGAAGAAAAGAGACAGAAAGAAGAAGAAGAAAAAAGACAAAAAGAGGAAGAGAAGAGACTAAGAGAAGAGGAAAAATTAAAGAAAAAGCTTGAAGAAGATGAACGCAAGAAAATGAAAGAAGAAATGAAGAAGGCCCAAAAAGAAGAAGAGCGACTCAAAAAAGAAGAAAAGAAACAAGAAAAGAAAAATAAAAAGACCGAAGACACTAACAACAATGAAAGTGAAGAAGAAGTTATTCCTGGTGTTCCCTCTCAAAACTTCCCAACCCCTGCTGCTGTGGCTAATCCTGTTGATGGAGAATTTAGTAGTAAAGGAATCGTAACTCCTAAAGAGATTTCATTAGATTTGAATCAATTAGATTTTGTAAAACAACCAGTTCATCAAGATGAAGAAGACGATGAAATACCAACACAACCAATTACAAGAAAAATGGGTAATCTTCTTGGAACCAGACAGCCTAAGAAAGAGACTCTTCCACAAGAAGAACCAGAAGGAGATGAAGAACCAATTGAACCTGCATTTGCACATCGAGGATTCCAAATGGGAGTTAGAAAACCACATGCAGTACAACAAATTCCTGTCAATATTTCATCATACACTCCAGATCAATACCAAGAAGAAACACCAGAAGCTACTACTACAACTGAAGAAACCAATGAAGCACCACCAGTTCCAGCACCAAGGAGGGGATTAATGCTTGGCAGAAGAAGTATAAACGAAACAAGCAGCGAAGAACCAAGTCAAGAAGAATTACCACCACCAGTACCAGAAAAAACATACATAGAACAAGAAGAGATTTGCGAAGCACCACCAGTTCCAGCACCTAGGAGAGGATTAACTCTTGGAAGAAAATCTGTTACAAATATTCCCAGTGAAGAGCACCAACAAGAACAACCAATCCCACCACCTCCTCCAGAAAGAGTCTACAAGGAGACACAACAGACTAATACTGAACAAGAAGATGAGTTAAATGAAGTACCACCAGTTCCAGCACCAAGAAATGGATTGGCTCATGTCAGACAAAGTACTGTAGAAGAACAGCCCAAACAAAAAGAGCCATCCCCTCAGCCATCGGTTACAGAGCCACCTGTACCAGCTGCTGTGGCCAATCCAATAGACAATGCCTCAACTGGTCCAATTATCACTCCTAAAGAGATTTCATTAGATTTGAATCAATTAGATTTTGTAAAACAACCAGTTCATCAAGATGAAGAAGACGATGAAATACCAACACAACCAATTACAAGAAAAATGGGTAATCTTCTTGGAACCAGACAGCCTAAGAAAGAGGTCCGTCAACAAGAAGAACCAGAAGGAGATGAAGAACCAATTGAACCTGCATTTGCACATCGAGGATTCCAAATGGGAGTTAGAAAACCACATGCAGTACAACAAATTCCTGTCAATATTTCATCATACACTCCAGATCAATACCAAGAAGAAACACCAGAAGCTACTACTACAACTGAAGAAACCAATGAAGCACCACCAGTTCCAGCACCAAGGAGGGGATTAATGCTTGGCAGAAGAAGTGTACAACAAACAACAAGTTCAGAAGAAGGTTTTGTTGATAACCAATATTCTAATGCCTCTGAACAAACAGACGAACAAGAAGAGATTTGCGAAGCACCACCAGTTCCAGCACCTAGGAGAGGGTTAGTGTTGGGTAGACGTTCATCAAGTATTTCAAGTGAAGAACATTCATTTGGACAAGGTTATGAAAAAACTAATGAAGAGCAATATCCAAATACTGAAGGAGCCATTCAACAAGAAGTTCCTGAACAGTTTCAAGAAGAACAACCAGCAGAACAAAATCAACAACCCCAAAGACAAGGAAGAATAAGTATTGGAAGGAAAGGAGGGAGAAACTCATTCAGTCGAAGAGGTAGAGGATAAACTGCGTTTATTTAAAACTATATTTTTATATTTGTTTTGTTCACTTTCAATGTTTTATTCTGGATGTGTTGTGTATTAGATTAATTCTTTATATTTTTTACTAGTCGAATAGAGGTGAGGAAATAGTAGATAATTATTTTGAATTTGTGACAGTTGAAATGATGAAGGTGTTATAAAATGAAATTATCATAAACAATAAATAGTGTATATATTATTAACAATAAAGCACATGACACAACAACAATAATCCTAGTCTATACAGTTATAATAAACTTGAAACAATTCTGATAAAGAGAAATAAAAAAGTAATACAAAATGACAGACACAAAGAGAGTCATTAAATTATTGCATTTATTTCTTATTTAAACTTGTACTGTTTCATTAATTCAATTTATTGTTTGACTTATTATTTATTCTTCATTTAAGTTTGTTATTAGATTCTTATTGTTATTTAAATCAAATATTTATTTTATGTATTATATTCTAATAATAGATATAAGTTACTGGGTAATCACTTTATTTTAACTATTGATAGTATTGTTTAGTGGTTAATTAACTGTTAACAGAAGTAGTCTCTTCACTTCCTCATTCTCTAACAACTCTATCGAGTATGTTCTATTGTTGTAGAATTAGTGTTCCATGACCTCCATCATGTTCTTTATTACAAGGTTTTTGATTTCTTTGGTGATATCAATTTCGATTTTTAATTCTTTAATTAATTTAATACTTTCCGCATTTACTAGCCCATTAATCCAAATTACTATTGGAATTATTTTGACATCCTTTAGTTTCTCTATTTTAATTAACCTATTTTTCAATTCCTTATACTTATTTCTTTTCTTCAAATACCCTCCATTAATATTATGATCTGCCACAATAGTCATATCAATTATTAGACCAGTTTTATTCTTTTTATTTATTACATATATATCTGATATTTTATGATATTGTTATTCACTTTTTGATATTATTTATTTGTTTAATATTATAATGATGTCATTGTATTGGAACATTGTTTCATATGTTTATTTTTTATATTGTTTATTTCCTGTGTATTTTCTTATTATCCCATATGATGATGCCAATATGGTCATGTTTCTCAATTTGTGATTTATTATGACAAATACAAGATAGTAGAATGTGTTCTACTGTGGATATCTTGTCTTTACAAAGTGGGCAGTACTTTAATCTTTCATTTTTTAATATTTTTGCTTTCCTGTACCCACTAAATATTGCTCCATCTTGCATTTTAGTTAATTGGAGAAATGCATTTTTCTTAATATTGATGGACTTCCATGCATTGATTGTAGTAGTTTTATCTATAAATTTTGAATCAATCAATCTTCTAAAATGTCCACTTGTTTGATTTCCATTTTTTGATGTATTGGTTGGTCATTAATTTCTTTATTTTTAATACTACCTCTTTTTTATTTTTATTTTCAATAAATTCATTTATTATTTCTTCTATTTTCGTTTCTGGGATTTTATGACTTAGTGCTTTTTTAATTCTATTCCATATTCATTTCTTGGAATACCATCTATCTATTATGTTATTTCTTATTTCACTCTTGTACATTAGTACATTACTATTCTAATTAATTCAATAACATATTCGTCCCTTAGGCTTATTAATCATTCACCAATTTCATTTATAGGGACATAGACGGTCTTTGGAGTTACAACAATGTATTTTGCCTTTCTTAAATATTTTCTTATCTCAAAATCCATTCTATCTAGGTCAGTTACCTTCCAATTTACTACTGATGCTGAATATCTGAAGATGGGTATTACTTCAGTATTAATTCTTGTAATATATCTTCTATTACTACTTTCATCAGTATTTATCTCTTCCATTTTCTTCATCATCTTTTATTTGATGATTTTACAATTGAAGGTATCATTAATTTCATCTGACTGCCATACTCCTAAATATTTATACAAGTCCTCTCCTTCAATTATTGGGATGTTTTGCATTCAATCTGGTATTTTATTAATGTTCTTTAATATCATTCCTGATTTCTTTTCATTCATTTCCATCCCTATTCCACTTATTATTTGTTTAATTTCATTGTGGATTGTTCCCATTTCTTCATTACTTTGTGTCATTATTCTCAATTCATCCATATACAATGTATGGTTTGATTTTGGGAACTTCTCTTCTATGATTTGAGAAATTACATTCATTTGGATGAAGAAGAGTAGAAATGATAATGAATCACATTGTAAAATTCATCAATTTAATACATCCTAGATATTCGTTGTATTTATATCCTATGAATATCTTCCATCTGTTCATCATACTTTCTACAATATCTATGATGACACCCTCTACATTAAAATATTTAAGTGTTTCTATTACCCATTCATGATTTACTGAGTCATATGCTTTCTTAATATCATAATATGACTCTACATATTTTGTGTATTTCTCTTCTTTCTGCTGCTTTAACATATAACTGTTAATTAATCGTTCTTTAGCAGCAAGAGATTGCAATTTACATCCCAATTGATTTTTACTAATTTTTAATGATTCACTATTCATGTTAATTCTATTGTGAATCTTATCTTTCAATATGGAGGTAAATACTTTCATTATTACATTTGTACACTGATATGACGATAATTAATGACATCGTTCATATCACCTCATTTGTGGATTAGTATAGTTCTTCCACTTACCATGTCTAGAGTGATGTTTTCATTGAAATTTAACCATTCATTGAATATATTAAGAATGGAATTTCTTGATGATGACATTCTCTTCCAATAATACAAATATATAGTGTCAATACCTGGTGATTTCCAATTACTTATTTTCATCAGGCTTAGATTTAAATCATCCAATGTGATGATGACACTATCATAATTCCTGTATCTTTCATTCCACGAGGTGATTTGTTTTATTTTCAAATGTTCTTTATTTAATATCACCTGTGTTTCATATAACGATTTCCAATATTCTAAAATAATATCGTTATTTGGGTATATTTCATTTTGTGTTTCTTCTTTATTTTGATTTTCTTATTAGAATCAAACATGATTTTATTTGTATTGATTCTGACAATTTCATTCTTATTAAATTTAATTCTTTCTTTAATCATCGTCATCGTATATTTTAGGTACTTTATTCTTTCTTGTGCTTTCATTTTAATTTCATCTACATCTTGTTCATTCAATCTCATGATGCATTTTATTTTGTACCATTCCCTTGACTAGATCTTCTAATCTATTTATTTTCATTAGGATTTCTTTTACTTCATCAAATTTATCTCATTTAAATTTATTTTGGAGATAGTAATGCATACACATTGAAATCCTTTTCATATCTTCTTGCAGATTTTCTATTCTCCTGACCATACCCATTTGTTATTAATTTCTCTTATTAATTTATCTGATTCTTTCATTTTCCAGTAGTAATTAATATTTACACATTTATCTATCTTCATTTCTTTAACTTGAATGATGATAGAGTTAAGATATTCATCATCAACATCAATAGTGTTATTTTTTATGATAATGTTTTTATTATTGGGTTACACTCTACTTTCCCTTCTATGATGGTTCATTTTCATTTTAATATATATTTTAGTTGTTTCTTTTATTTTATGTGATAATTTAATATTATTAATGTATTCTTTCTCATTATTTACATTAATGTTTATTATTTTTATTATATTTTCTATTTGTTCATTTCTTAATTTCTTATTTAATTTCTTATTTAATAAATTAATTGCAAAACAATACAACACATCAATTAAATTTCTATTTGTTTGATTTATTGTGTTTTCTTCTCTTCTTGATTGATTATTATTTCTTGTTTTTTGATACTCAGTGTTTTGCTCTCTTCTTCTTCTATTTCCATAATTGTCTTTTTCATAGTTGTAGTTTTGTTCATTTGTATTGTCCATGATGATGATGTTCTCAATATTTGTTGTGTATTTATCACTAGAGTCATTGTTTTCTTCTTCTCCAGTTCCTTCTGGGATAAAAAATTTTCGATACTTTCTTGTTGTTTTGATATTATTTGATTTTGTTCTTCATTTTCTCTTTGTGTATGGTCTAGTTCTTTTCTTGTTATTTCTGCAATCTCATAGTTTTGAATCCCACTTTTTTGATATACAGAGATTTGATTTTCTTTATCTCTTATGTTCTTTTTCAGAACCTCAGCACTCTTCTCCAACTCATCAGCCCTCTTCTTCTCCAACTCATCACCTTTAAGGACTTCGTCCTTCTCTTTCTTCAGCTTCTCACAGCTAGCTCGGAGTGTTCGGATGGTTTCATCCTTACCTCATACTTCTATGTTCCTTCTACCATTTGTTTCATTTATTTTTCCTTGTAATGTATTATTTTCCTCTTTTAATTTAGAGTTTTCTTTTCTTATTTCATTATATGTAGTTTGAATCTTATTTATTTGTGTTTTAATCTTTTCTATTTCTTCTTCAAACTCTTTCCTGACTGTTTCTCTTGCTTTTTGAATTATTTCATTTGAAATGATTCATTCTTCTTCCATCTTCTTTGTTTGAAGTTCTTTAATAGTTTCTTCTATTTATTTGATTTTATTTTGAAGAATGTTAATTTCTTCTTTGTTATATTCTTCTTCTTTATCTTTGAATTCGAAGGTAGCACGTCAGAGACACCACACAAAACCCTAAAATAATTCCATCCTTCGAATCCCCCAGTTATGGACTGGTTATGACGTGTCTTGGTGAGGTAGTGCACCACCCAATACTAGATGGTTATTTTTTTTATTATGACTGATTATTATGGAGACATTATTTATAAGGATTATTATTTATTATTATTTATTATTATTTATTATTATTTATTATTATTTATTAAGGATTATTATTTATTTTGATATGAGACTATTAAACTATTATGGTGGTAGTATTATTATTAATTAGGACGCAACATATTTATCAACGATAGATTTGGGCTGAATACATGGTGTGTTATCAAGAAAAAGGGATTCTTTAATTGGTGTCGATGATAAAGAAGATAGGCCATAGTCTCATAGTGGTTATGGATATATTCTTCTAATAATAACACATAAACAATGAAGAGTTTTTTAATACTCATCTAATTCAAGGTATGAGTCAGGCAGCAACTTAAATGAGGAACCATTTAAGTCGAGCGTGTTTGAAAAAAACATTATTTCATATGAAATAAAGCATGTTGAAGAAACTGGTTTTTGCTCACTTCTCAACATGATGAAAACCTAAATATAGGTAATTCATAATTGATTCCTTCTTATTCTTCTTCTTTATCTTTTGTTTTTTGTTTATGTTATTTTTAATTTATTATTATTGTACTTTTATTTCTTTTCTTTGTTTTTTGTTTTTGTTTTTGATTCATTTTTCATTTATTTTAATATTTTCATCTTTTATTTTGTTTTATCTTTGAATTCTTATTTGTTTTTCTTTATTATTTTCTTCTTTCTTATTGAATATAATTCTTGGAGAATATTATACATTTTCTTTACCTTCATACTTTTTAAGTATTTCTGTTTATTCTCCTTTCTCCTGTTCTCTTGTTATTCTTTTAATTTTCTTTTGAATTTCTTTTGTTGTTAACCATTTAGGTTTCTTGTTTGTATAATGTTTATTATCATTATACTTACATTGTTTCTTATTTGTTTTTATTTGTATTCTTCTTTTTCTATTCACTTTTTTCTTGTCATTTCTTTTACTATTATTATTATGCATTTTATTGTTATTTCATTCATTCTTTTCTTTGAACTTGAATACCTGTTTTTTGTTTGATTTTCTTTACAAGACCCTATGGTATTACTCAATAGCCATGGCAACAAAATATGTTGTATATTTTACATGATAAAAGGATCTTAAGAAATAATAAACAAAATAAAATAAAGATAGAAAATAAATAAAATAAAAGATATAAAGAAATAAAATAAAAAAGAAAGATAAGAATAAGAATATAAAAATAAGAATAAAAATAAATAAAGAATAAAATGAGAATTATAAAACAAATATAAAGAATGATATATTAATCAATAAAGAGAAAAGAATAATATCAAGAATATAAATGATAATCAATTATAATTTATTTCTACTTCAATTTATATTGTATTTCATTTAATGTATTTTTATTTCATTCATCATTATCTTTAAAACAATTTCTTGGTATTCTTTTATTTTTCTTTAATTCTTCTTCACATCCACATTTATAAAAACATCCATATCCAAATGTTGTAATCGATGATGGTATATTAATTGATGTTAATGATGTGCATCTATCAAAACAATAATTTCCTATTTCACTAATTAATGACGGTATATTAATTGTTGTTAGTTCATAACATCTTTTAAAACATTCTTCTCCTAATTTAGTAATTGACATTGGTATGTTAATTGATTTTAATGATGTACATTTATAAAAACAATAATCTCCTATTTCACTAACAGATGATGGAATAATAAATTCATTAACATCTTTCTTTTCAATATTCTTTCCATTGATTATTTGTAGATTATCAGGTATTTTAATACTAACTAACACTGGTTTATTCATAAATATTCTTTCTTCACTAGTATATTGTAGATTAATTATATTCATATTAGTTAATGATATACAATTATTAAAACACATTTTTCTTATTTTACTAATTGTTGATGGTATAGCAATAGATGTCAATGATGAACATTCAGAAAAACAATAATTTCCTATTTCATTAACTGATGATGGTATATTAATTGATGTTAATGAATAACATCTTTCAAAACATTCATACCCAAGTGATTTAACTTCTGATGGTATTGTATTTCCATACTTATATCTATCTTCTTTTCTATACTCTATTTTTTTATATATTTCCTTGTTATTTCTCTCGTAATATGTTGAATATTTTACTTTATACCATATCATTTTTTTAAATATTCTTCCATCATCAAATATTTTATCTCTTCTATTATAAATATGAAATGTTTCAATATTAGGAAACAATTTTCTTGAATAATTATTTAAAGGAATTGGATTAAAATGAAATCTTTCCATATTTCCTTGAAATCTTTTAATTCCAATTTCTAAATTAATAAAATCATTAATATCATCAAAGTACATTGATGTTATCATTATTTCATTATATCCTAATTTCATTATTGAGTTATATTAATTGATAGTTCTTTTTTTTATTTAATATGAGCTTAAAATAATTTTAAGATTAT